AACCCTGTGTCTATGGGAATGAGTGCTGTGGGATTCCTAAACAGGCTGGGCAGATTTTCATGGAGGGGCTGTGCTGAAACAGCTCCTGATGGTCTTGGTGGGAGATATATACTCCTGCAAATCACAAACCAAGCACATATCCTCTAATTTTCCTGTGCTGGGATTGGATTTTTTGTTGTTGTTGTCATCTATGTTTCATCTTTTTTTTTTTTTTTTTTTTTTTCCTTCTTCTCTATTAGAAGATAGCAGTACTCAGCCCTCCCAGGTGAGGGTTTCTGTTGTCCAGGCCTGTGCTATTTAGCTCTCACCAGTTTGCTTCTGCACCCCCTGTTTCTGTATGTCTTCCGTGAGCTATGAACACCACGGTTGTCTCTTTCCAGGCTTAAGAATCAAACAATGGTTGTTTGAGCATTTCCAGAGCCACTGCTCAGGGCAATAAACACCTGCAGATAGAAATGATAAATAGGTGGTGACTAAAACAATCAATGAATTTTTTGTCAAATTGGTAGCATAGGACCAATAACTTCAGTAATCAGACAAAGCTATTCTCTGCCAAATAATGCTGTACTGAAGTATGTGCCTAAATACGCCATTTGGACAACACTAGGTTACAGTGTTCCTTGAAAGAGTTAACATCTAATCGCAGATTTGGTTTCCTTGATTGACAGACAATTTTCAAAAAGAGTGTGGTTTGTCAAGAAGTTGTTCCCTTCTTCTTCCAGAAATCTCTTTGAAACCAGTGCAGGCAATTTCCTGTCTGTGACGGCATTCAAGACACGAGATACCCTTGTCTTTGACAGCAAAGGACGTTGGTTTCATTTGAGCTTTTTCCCTTATCACTGACAACAATAAAATTGTCAAGTGTGTGATTTGAAACATCAAATTCGGTATGAACTTTTTGTGTAAGCAAGGGACATTGGACATATTAACTTTTTTTCTCCCATCTATACTGATATATGGGACATACCAATTGACAAATGGTAACGATTGCCTGATGTATGTGTATAGCAACTTCTGTGCGAACTATCAGCAGACCAACAAGGTTATAATGAAGTCATCTTTTGAATTTAATAATAAATTTCACTTTGTCAGCAGTGGTCCAAGGTAATGATGTGAAGCTTCTTAACAGTGAAGGCAGAGGAAGACTTCGTAGCTGAGGAAATGCTCATTTTAATTGCAGGCTTGAAATACTGTCTGTCAAAGTACCGTAGCATTATTTTATTTTTATTGAGAAACCAAATGCATTTGAACTTGACACCCCCCGATAAATAAATAAATAAATAAGCAAGCAGTCTCTCTGCATTCATAAGAAATCGATCATGGTGAATAACAGATGATTTTGAGTATTTGGGTTTGAGTCCACAGAGTGAGACTTGAAAGTCACCTGAAAATTGCCTTTTCCAGGCTTGGTTTGTAGGAGCATAAGCATCGCAAGGCATGAATGAGCTGTTTCACCGAAAGGAGAGTGGATTTCCTGGGTAAACCATGACTTCAGTCTGTCTTATGTCACACTGCTAGCCTTTGTGTAATGCCTGTTGTTATACTACGGCTCTGGCTACAGCAGGCTCAGGTTCCTGGTGGTGGCATTAACTGCAGCCATGAATGTGCCTTACACCTCACCTTAAGTCTTCCTGACGGTCTTTTAAAAGAAGCTGTGATCAATTATGTAGAGGATATTTTACAAGAGCGAGCCCTTGTGAAAGATGTTATCCTGCCATGTTATCTCAGCGGGTGACAGTAGTTGCTGTAAGACCAGACGTGTGCCCGCAGTCCGTGCTGCTGGCCCCAGGTCGAGGGACAGTGTTACTCACTAGCACTTCAGCTCACTGCCTGGGAGGAGCAGCAGGTCCCTGCCTGCCCAAATTTCACATGAACAAAGTACTGCAGAGCTCCTGGGTGCATGAATCCAGCTGCCTGTCTCAATACCTATTAAAGATAATTTTCCCCAAATAACCCAGCTCCAGATCTTCCCAGTTTCTCCTGTTGCTGAATACCCCCAGATAGCCTTTCAAATTCTGGTTAGCAAGTTGTGGTTTTGCTTCCTTTTACAAATAAATAGGCCTTATCCTACAATCACATCTCAATACCTCTTAGACCCAGTATTTATCATGGGAATTATTTCGAAGTCCATGGCGTCCTTCAGTTGGCCCAAAACCATTTCTCATTGCAACATCAGCGGACAACAGCAGCCAGCCCGTAAGAGTATTATTTACTCTTCCAGACCTCTTTCCACCCATAAGTTCCTGCTACCTCCAGCCACCAAAGAGCAAAAATACGTGGATGTGTGACTTCCCCTGTAGTAAGAGCGGTGGGTGCAGTTTGGTGCTGAGTGGTAACGTCCTCAGCTGAATTACAGGCAAAAGCCGAAATCTAAAGGGTGTTTATATTACTTAGTGAAAATCATTCAACAATAAAAGTCTAGTTGCTGCTGTTGGGAATATAACTGTTAGAATAAAACTTAAGGCAACGGTAAGATTCAGCTATGGTATGTTAATTTGAATCTGCAGTAAATCTGTCAGGATTTCAAGTCAGTTTAAGAGGTAAAATATAATTGTTGTAAAACACCGAACTGCAATTTATATATATTTTTCCCAACCACTTGTGGGCTAGCAATATTTCAGCTCTATAATCACAATCTGAACCTTTTAGAAGGTTCTTTTTTATACAAGTCAGCAGAAGTAGTATTTTACTTCTCTTTTGTGTGGGATTCTTTGAATGCAATGCACTTCTGGGGAGGAAAATAGTCTGGGGAGAAAATCCAGCAAAGGCTGCTTTGCACTTGCTTCTCTTTTCTGAAAGAAAGACGTGCCTGAGTGTGCAATGATCAATTTGTCAGTCAGTTTGGAGCGCAATGAAAATGACTGTCAAGGTGAGGTTTTGTTAGTTAGATGTAAAATACCATTTGACCTTACAGACTTGCCTTCTGTAACGGCATTTTGTGATAACAGGTAGACGTGGTTAAAAAAAAATAATAATAATCCTTTTGTCATCTATCTTTTTGTAAAAAAGCTTCCTCTTATTTTTAAGCAGAAAAAGACTGTAAAGTGCCTTCAGTTTATTAAGCAATTAGACTAATAAGAGTTTTAGGCTTTTAGTCCCAAGCTTCTCCCAGGTGTTTTTTCGCAACAGCCTGAATCTTGACTGTTCATTTGCAACCCATCTTCCCAGGTGAGCTTTGGGATGCTGAGAAAGCCGAGAGGAGACATGAAGCAGGTTGCCCACATCATGCTTTGGGTATAATGTCTTAGTTAGGAGGCAGTCTTCATGTTGTCACCGGAGAGCAGGGAGAGCATCTGGAGAGCTGTGTGTGACCACCATCCTGTCACTCCCGGAGCAGAAACTCAAGGGGTGTTTGAGGAGAGGTATTAATGCCAGCCCAGAGGGCTTGGTGCCTCCTGGGGTGCACTCCCAGGAGACAAGTCCCCAGGATCCAAGTGCCCTTTGCAGGAGATGAACTCATCAGGCAGGGCTTACAGAGATGAGTGGTTTGGGGTGAGTCCTTATGGATGAGGGATGAAATATGTGAAGAGTTACTGCAGAGGGCACGGTGTTGTCTGAGGTCAGACCCACAGGAGCTCCTTGGGAGATGCCCTGGCAGCCTCTTAATGGGAAAGAAAAGGCAGCCTGTTAATTTGTCCTTATTTGGAATCATTTCTGAAGGCTTGTAAAGCTTCACTGCTCCAGAGGAAAGTTACATCTGCTGATTGAGGGGAGGAAGGGAAATGATAATAAAAGTTACTCAGTTGAGGCTAATATAGCCTTTTGAATTTTGCAGTCAGATGAGTCTGAGAGATTAAAAGGAGAGAGAAAAAGGATGATTTGCATGCTTAAAAAAGATAAATAACCCTTTGTACTCATTATTTTGGTATGTGTTTGCATTTTTCTTTTTTTCTTTTTTAAAGCATTAAGGAAAAGGGGACTTGACAATTCTTTAGCAAGTATTAGGCTAGGCTGAATTAGTGTGGAGAGACCGCTGGCCATCTGTGTAGTTTGGGCTGCTGTGACTTTTGAAGCTAATGCACTTTAATAGGTTTTGATGGCCAGAGTCTGCACAAAAAAAAAAAAATAAAAAATAAAAATAATAATGAGAATGAGGGAGATTGTTTTATTTTGTTGCTACTTGCATTGAGGCATGGCCTCTCCTGCTTCCAGCAAGGCAGGGTCTGGCTGCCTGTGTACTGCTTGCACCATGGTAACAGTCCTCTGTCAGCATCCTTGGGCAAAGAGAGGATACAGAGGTTAGCCTGTTCCAGAGCATTTATATTCCAGGCAGACAGGTGAAAGCCACATTGGACTCAGGAAGAACAGGGTGGCAGAAGCACAGCGTGGGGAACAGGTGGTGCTAGCAATCCCTGCTGGCACCATGACCAAAGGAGGGAGTTCCCTGAACCTCAGTTGGATCTGGTCCTTGCTTCACCTGTAATATAACACTTCTCTTTTACCTGTTCCTGAAATTTTTCCTGTTTCAAGTCTAGTGCCTGTAAATTTAGCAATCACTCTGTACAGACACAAGTAAGACCTTGTCTCAGGGTCTTGGCAAAGCAGTGAGGGCGAGCAGTGGTCCTGCCCCCTGTGTCCCCTCCACAAGTGGACAGAGCAGATACCTGCAAGGAGGTAGACTGCTGACCCTAATTCATCATCTGAACCGGTGCCTGCTGACAATTGCCTTTCTGATTGCGTATCATTTTCAAAGAGATTGCTGCATATAGTGGGAGAGAAAGCCTTTCAGATCCTCTTTGATGCGGTCTCTGGGTTTCAAAATCAAGACATCATTTAGCTGTCAGTGAAGACAGTGTGAAACTTGCAGGAGAATCCTCTCCAGTTGCTATTTCCCTGTAACAAGAAGACAACAAGAAAGAAGAAAAGGCATTTCATTGTGAAGTCTCTCAGGCTTGCAAATGCACTCTGCCACTTACAGGCCTTTTGTTTGCATTGTGCTTGGCTTGGCAGGAACCTGCCTCATTAACCTTTTCCGTCCCTCTCTCCTCTTCTGCTGCAAGGTAATGCTGTAACCCCTTCAAGGTGCAAGGAGTGCAGGTGCACCGAGCCTCAGTCTTTGCATACTCAGACAGATGAGGGAAAGCAAGCTGAGAGGAGCTGCGGTGATGTGTACTGATGCATGGACTGATGGAGGTGGAGAGTGATGGGGCCAAAGAGTGGAGAAGTGAGGCCCTAGAGCATCTGTGGGAAAGGGAAAACCTCTGTTGGACAGCAGAGAGGGCACGTGTGTAATGACACTGCAAGACAGACCCAGCATGTAGCCACTGTTAAGAAAAGACTTCGAATGTACTGATCTGCAGAGAGCAAGCAAGATGGTCTGGTTGTAAGACACCAAGGGCTGCAGCGAGAGTGTGACCAGCTGCTCCTTCCTCAGGCACTCTGGAAAAGCATATCACGGCAGATGTCCTTCCTTGCCATTTTTTTTTCCCCGTGTTCTTCACAGTGTGGTTTGCTTTTGCATCAGGTACCACGTTGCTTTCAATGCCATGACTGCACAGGAGCAGCTCTGGCGTAGCTAGAGGTCACAGCTGTAGCATGTCTGGCGCTGGGGTTGGCTTTGCCTCCCCTATCCTCTTGTGCAGGAGCAATGCCTCCAAAAGCCCTTCCACCACCTGTTTGGCTGGATGGAGCTGAAGTCCTTTTCCCCTAAATATAGCTCTGTGCGCGTGGCGGAGCTGAGCTCTGTTGGCATAGCAAAGCACAAGCAAAGGGAAAGCCAGATGGCTGATTCATGCTGAAAGGCAGCGTGAGGGACTAGAGAAGACAGGCAATGACTTGGCACAGTGACCAGTTTCTTGGATGCCTCGGAGAGGCCGTCTTACCTTTCTGTCCCACCCTCTCCACTTACCTATAGCTTTTTTTTCAGACAGGAATATCTCTACTTGCCAGGGACTGCATCTCTCTCCCAAAAAGGGACGATCACAGCACACAAAATTTTGCCATATGGAATTTGAGTTGAGGTATTTCCTCAAAGGAGGGAGGTGGGTTCATCCTCCTGGAGACACAGATTGTCCATCTCTCTTTGCTGACTGTAGTGAGCAGGAAAGTGTGATGGTCATTCCCACCAAATCTGTGCGCTGCAGGATCTCATTTTCCTGAAATCAGCTGGGGAACATGAGACCATTCTTTATGCTGCTTTTACAAGGACAGCCAGTACCTGATGCAGGAAATAATTGCATCGGGTCTAATTGAGTCAGATCTAACTGCATGTGATCTTTTTGTGGATTGTTTTTCTGCTTGTTTGTTGTGGGAGGAGGAGGAGGGAAAGTTTGCTCTTATTTTTGAACTCATGGGCAAACAAGTAGGCAACTCAGGGCTTAGTGTCATTTTTGGCTGTGTAGTAAACAAAGTGAGCCCCAGTCTATGATGCCTGACACAGGCACATTTCTGAGCAGGTGCTGGTATGGGCTTCCTTCTCCTAACCAGAGTGGGTGGGTGGCTTGGTCCTCTGTTCAGACTCCAAAATTGTACGTTTTACACTTTAAGCTTTCCTCTGACCTGAGACCTCAGACACATCCTCGTCCTTTCTTCTTGCATGTACTCTACTTGGAGGTCAGTTTCCAGCATCCCTTCAGCCCACCTGCCAGAAGGAGACATCACTTTCTCTGTGTCCTGCTCCTTAAGTCAGGCACACTATCCAGGTTCAGCTTTGCAGGTTGCCTGTCGTGGGTATGCTGCAACTCCATTTCTAGAGCCAAAGCTTCTAGGGATGGTCAACTAGTAGTACAACTCTGGCTGCTAATTTATTCCAAATAAACTAGATTATGACAGTCTGTGACACTTATATGATCCTTGAATAGGGGACCAGAGGGTTGGGAGGACGCTGGGATGTGCATGTGGTGGGAGGAGGGAGAGGTGGGCCTCAAAGTTTCCAGCTTTGCACATGAGACTGGCCCAGACTGTTGTGCTGCTTGGGCAGGTCTCTTGTCTGCCTTGGCTTGTGTTAGGCTGGAAGGCGCAGTGAGAAATAGTAAAGACTGAAAAAGCACTAAGATACCATTTTCTGCTAAAACACACCAATATTCCAGCGTACATGTGGCTCAGATTTGCAGTGAGCGGGCTGCTAGGAAAGGTGTGCGGGTAACAAAGGGGTCTTTGTAAACTGCAGAGGAAGAAACTGGAACCACACTGGCACAGGCTCTGGGTGACATAAACACTGTTACAGGTGCCGAATTAGGTGCAAAAATTTCAAATTATCACCTTCTTTGTTTGCTGTCAAGAAGATGCAAGTTAGTTGGCAGGGGAACTAAGTGACACTGTGGTGCTAAACACCCCAAACCACAGTGAGACAAAAGGCATGCCTAAAACCTTGGCTGATGATGTACAGTAAGTGGGAGTGGAGAGTTGTCCCAGTCTGGGTAAAATGGAGTTAGATGGTTTCTTGTTGGATTACCACTGGCTCCTAAGGTGGGACATCGAAGTAACTCCAATTACAGGTCTGTGACAGTTGCCAGCTTGCTCTTAAATTGCAGTAAGTGACATGAACCATGAAAAACTGGAGATAACAATAATAATAATGATAACTCTTTCAAAGACTTGAGCATCTAAGTAGAAGCTGCCACCATGACCATGATGTATAAACAGGAAACTTGATTTAGTAACAAGAGGAGAGGTATAGGGAAAAGCGACATGAACATGGAGCTCAGAACATCCAGCCCAGCATTACAGGGATATTTTGTTCTGCTACAAGATTTCTGTGTTGGTGTGTTCAGGCTATGCACATCCTGGATCCTTGTTGTCCTTCAGTTATAACCCCATGCCTCTGGGATGGTATGAGGAGCAACCAGCTGGTATCTATTTTGCCAATATGCAACATCCTCGATCTGGCTCATGAAAGTCCTGTGCAGTGGAAGATGGCTATTATGGCAATCCACTTGCATTTGCTTTTTCTTAGCTGTGTTAAGGAGGACACGGGGGCAGAAACAGGGGGACGCTGCCATGAAGACAGAAATAAACCCAAACTCGAACTGGGAAAGGGCTGGTGAGATGTGGTTGCGTGGATCTGGTATGTGCTGCGGGTACAAACTGAAACATTTTCTTCAAGTGCTGTGGAACATGGGATCAATATTGCTGGCTTGCTAGCTGATTAAATGAAACATTGCCTTTCTGCAGGAAAATGGGGCTTTTGAGGGGTTCCTGCACCAGCTGCTGTAGCTTATCAGGCTATATTTAATCAGAGCCCAGAAGTACAGTTGTCTGGCTGCTGAAGCTACTTTTTCTCATGACTTCTGGGCATCTTGGACCAGCCCCTCCATGCCCTGCTCCTAGGAGCGGGAAGCTGATAACACCATAGAGCATCTCTGCAGTCCTCTTTTGAGTCTGCATGTAAAAATCGCCACTGGGGTTTGCATTTCCCCTGCATCTGGGACACATACAGATTAGTGGGATTTTGGACTCCTCTAAATCCCAGGGAGTTGGGTGAAACCTTGCTTTTCCGTGCAAAAGATTGACTTGGTTATTTAAACAGCACTACACTGGCAGGCTCCTGCAGTCCCCACAGAAGGAAATAGCTTCAGTATTGCTTTCTTTATTCATCTACTGTGCTGTGTTAGAAAGGGCAGAGCACGGGGTTTTCCAGCAAGGCCCAGGCTATGCTTATGTATCCTGCTCCAGCTGCAGCTTCATGGAGGAAGCCTTTCACCCCCATGCTGGGCTCCCTCCCCTCTCTTCACCTCTTGCTGCCAGTCATCATCATTTTCACATAGTTCATACAACATAATTGCAGTGTAATTGCCCCCAGTCCAGCTTAGCAAAACAAAAACATGCCAAGATTAACCCATCTATGTGATCGGTCTTTGCTGATCCAGACCATTGGAACTGAACCATGTTGTAGAAGGATGATTTGAGCCTGGAGACATGCCACATGTGTGGGTAACCCCACTGCATCCACTGCCTGCCAGGTGTGGATGTGGGCAGAGCCTCCCAAGCTCCTCCACCCTGAACTGCAGAAGAGGAGAAGTTTCAAACTGGGAACAGATTTGCATCCTCCAGAAGGCAAGGGGAAGGAAGACGCACAAGGGACATAAACAGTGAGATTACCTCTGCATGCTGTGGGTTAAAATGCTATCATCTTTTTGAGTAGAGCATGTAAAGTGTGTACATCTGGAACGTGTGCGAGCTGCTGCGGCTCTAATTATGGGACTGTGGCACACTGGGCTACTGCACAGGCTGCTGAGCAGCCCTAGCTGTTTGAGCCTGGACTAACTTTGGTATGATTCATGATGTTAATGATGCATTTTTACAGCAGAGGAGGAAGAATCCTATTGTCCTTTCTTCTTTGTTTCAGTATATTTTTGCTTTATATCCGTTGAATGCTTTGTTTCCATTTTGTATTAATTTTGCAAATTGGTCCCTGTGGTAAGAGCATGTGTAACGGTTTTATGCAGCCTTTTCTAAGCCTGCCTTAATGTCCCTGCATTTATCTTTTGAAGCTAATAATTAAAAGGGGAAAAACACTGTCTGTGGACTTCTATAGCGATGCCAGTTGAGTCCATTTTCTCTCTTGTTGGTAACTATCTGATCTGACTCGCACCCACAACAGACTGTCGGGGGGAAAAAATAGTCACTGCTTTTATTTCATGTCTGGCCTGATGAGAATAGTAATGAGAACAGCAAAGCAGTTGCATCCCCAGCTAGCTGGCTACAAAGTAGGCAGGCTGAGTCCTCGATGTACTGTCAATTCCATGCATTGTGTAGGCAATTAACATTGATGCTAAAATAATTAATGATGAGAAAACATCAAAGGGTTTGGGTGCTTCAGTTCAAACGAGCACCAGAAGCTCAGTTTGTTATCCAGGCTTGTCTAGTTGTCTGAAAATACCTTATAACTAGCTTCTCGGTGCTGCAAACCACAAAAAGGCTGGCACTTCCATTCTGACTTAGATGTGTTCAGAGCTCTAGGAAGCTCCGGGAGAGGTTTCAACACAAAAACGAGCATTTGCGTTCAGTCTAATATGAGCTGTTTTGTAAATATTTGATGAAAAGATTTAGAATTTTTCAATTTCGGAAATGCACTGCACAAGTTGATTTACAGAAGGTTATCAAAGTCACAAGCTTGTTCTAATTTCCAAGGTAGTGATTGAACTTTTTTTGAAGTGATCTCTGGAGCAAGCAAATATACAGTGGAGGAGGTTGGTAGGAATGCCAAACTAGAGCTGGGTTGAAGTTGCCATCTAAGGCAGCGCTTCAATTCCCCTATTTCATACTTAGAGTACAGAATTAGCTCATATATTTATTGCAGTTATTGCTCAGTGGGTAATTGCATTTCTTCTGATGGATCAGAGAAACACCCGCAAGTAAAATGTCCAGAAAAAAAATGAAATAAAATAAAATAAAAATAAAAAAGAAGAAGAAAAGAGGAAAAAAAAAAAAGCTGAATTTGCAAGTCTGGCCTGGATCTCCACTCCACCATGCACTGGTCCTTTGCATCTCATTTATTGGACTAAATCTGATTATACACGCAGCAGTGTCTCAGGTCCTGTCCTACCATCATAAACATCTATTTTTCCTATAGAGGAATGCAAGTCACTGTGCTAATGATTGAACTGTTTGTCAGGTGCAAAAAGCAGTGAAAGACAGAACTGAGTAGTGTGAGAGTCATTTAAAGCAACGTGCGTTGCAATGTGTGGAGTGCGGCACAAAAATGCTGCTGATTGGCCACAATGTAGATTGTCTTTCTGGAAGTCTGTACTCAGAGTATAATTGAGTGTGTGCTATCCCATGCGTGCTTAGAATTTCTTATTGACGACAATATTGAAGCAGCTAAGTTTAAAAATAAAAAGTATGAACCAAAGAGAATGAAAGAGGTCAATGTTTTATTATCTAAAGAGAACTTTGATGTAGAAAAGTTGCATACAACACAAATCAGCTATTAAATTGACCTCATCTGTGGCCTGCTTGATTTCAAAGGCCTTTGAGTAGACTTTTACAAAGAAAGTTTTAAAAGTTCATGCACAGAGGTAGCATTTTAAAAAAAAAAAAAAAACATAGCTTATTTATTTTTAATAAGTTATACGCATAGCCCTTGGTTCCTCGAGGTAGCAAACCAAACATCTGGCTTTTAGGCTCAGTGATGTTTGGATCATGATCAAAGGGAAAGGTTGCCAATTAACCCCCCATGATCTCTCCACCATGTGTGTTTGATGCCATCTTTTTTCCATTTCATTTATTTCATCTGAGCTTGATATTAAATCTCTTACCAAATTCAGATTAGCCATGGCTTTCCCATTGCTCTGACAGCACATCAAAGCTCCAGAGGACCCAGAAGGTTGAATTAGCCACTGTCTGAATCTTCTCTGAGCTGCTCTGAGAGAGATGTATCTGTGTAAGGAATAAAGGGAATAGATGATATCTCTGCTCTGAAACTTTCAGAAAAGTTAAATGGTAAGACTGGGCTAAATTTAAACAAGAAGTACTGTGCAGAAAGCAAGTAGGTACAATAACGAGGTGTTGTATAGTTTATAGAAAAAAATATAGAAAATAAGTAGCAATAAAGAGATAGAATAACTTGGAATAATTTCAGCATATATTTCAGCAAACAGGAATATGTTATATTACTAAATGTAATATATTTGCTGTTTGTATTAAAATAACATTAGTGAAGTAGGGAGGAACCTACAAGATAAGACCACGCTATTTTCATTGCTCTCATGATCATCAGTTACCTTTAAAACAAAAGGGCAAGCATTTTTTTGAGGCTGTCCCGGGGAGCTAAGCTACTGCCAAGAGCATGCAGCAGTGTGGAAAAAATGCAACCAATATGTGTAGGGAAAAAGGGAACAGGTTACATAGAAATGAGGTGGGGACATTTAACTCTTGGTAACTGACAGTTAGAAACTTCATCTGGCAAGGCTTTGCTGTCATTGTCTGGGGTAATAAACTAAATGTCCTCTGCGAAGACACAGGCGGTATCAGATGTTCTGATGTTTGTATAATTTCATCTAGTCTATTTTATATGATAGAGGGTGATTTGGTACAAAAACTTGGGTCTAACAATTGAAATTAGGGTTACAGACCAAAAGTTGATCAGAAATCAGGGAAGACTGATATAAATCACACACAGCTGGACGTTTTATTGTATTTTCTCCTTCAAATGTGTTGCCACTTTCTGGTGAACCAGTTCCTGATTGTTCCATTTGGGCACTCCCAGGGTGTCATTTCAGAAATGAAATACAGGCTCAATGTGAGAAGAAAAGAGGGAACTGCGGTATGCTGAAAGCATGAGCTGCGCTGTAGAGGTGAGCAATTCATTTGGGACCTTGTGGAGGAGCTATAGAGGATGGGAATCATAGATTCATAAAGGTTGGAAAAGACTTCTAAGATCATCTGATCCAACCATCCCCCTACCACCACTGTCACCCACTAAACCATGTCCCTAAGCACCACGTCCAACCTTTCCTTGAACACCCCCAGGGATGGTGACTCCACCACCTCCCTGGGCAACCCGTCCCAGTGCCTGACTGCTCTTTCTGAGGAGAAATGTCTCCTCATTTCCAACCCGAACCTCCCCTGGGGCAACTTGAGGCCATTCCCTCTAATCCTGTCGCTAGTTATCTGTGAGAAGAGGCCAACCCCCAGCTCCCCACACCTTCCTTTCAGGTAGCTGCAGAGAGCAATGAGACCTCCGCTGAGCCTCCTCTTCCCCAGCCCAAACACCACCAGCTCCCTCAGCTGCTCCTCACAGGCCTTGTGCTCCAGGCCCTTCACCAGCTTCGTAGCCCTGCTCTGGACACGCTCCAGGGCCTTGATGTCCTTCTGGTAGTGAGGGGCCCAAAGCTGAACACAGTGCTCGAGGTGCGGCCTCACCAGAGCAGAGCACAGGGGGACGATCACCTCCCTGCTCCTGCTGGCTGCACCATTCCTGACACAAGCCAGGATGCCGCTGGCCTTCTTGGCCACCTGGGCACACTGCTGGCTCGTGTTCAGGCAAACATCTATCAGCACCCCCAGATCCTTTTCCTCTGCACAGCTTTCCAGCCACTCTGCCCCAAGCCCATAGCGTTGCATGGGGTTGTTGTGGCCAAAGTGCAGAACCCAGCACTTGGCCTTGTTGAACCCCATCACCTTAGCCTCTGCCCATCAACCCATCAAATTATCTGTTACAACAGTGTAGATTTATTGACCCTTCCTTAAAAAGGCAAATATTTAAATATTAAAGCATGGTACAGTGCCATTGAAAGGACTTTTTTTTTTTTTTTTTTTTTTTTTTTTTTTTTTTAAGGACTTGTGTTTGTAAAGGGAAGAAAAAATCAGAATAGAATATTAAATATACAGAGCCAAAAGTGATCACTCACTCACATCAATGGTCTCACAGAAAAAGTCCCTCTGCTATAGAGAGTATCACGCACATTATGAGAAGCTGGAGCAGAGACCAACTACTACAACTTGCAGGTAATCTGAAATAAATCTCTGGAGGTGTTAGTTATGTTGCATAACAATGTGAGTGACACCAGAGTCTGGAGATCAGCTGCCTTTGTATGGTGGATAGGACAAGGACTGGTGGTCTTAAATTACTGTGAGAAGAATTCAGGTTAGGCACAAAGAAAATGTTTTTAACTGCTGTCTCGAAGTGCCCCGGACTGAGCCATCTGTAGAGGTCTTGTATTCTGTAGCCTGCAGCCTTGCTTCACTCAGGTATGTTTAAGTGTAGATGTAATTACATACCTTTGAAGTCTGACCATTTACTGACATCGGTGTGTTAAAACCTGAGTGGAAAGGCAAATGATTTTTGAACTCTCTTCTCTGGCATTCAGATTTTAGTTTCCCCATAGAACGTGATTATTCTATGCCAGCAGAACTGTTTTGGTTCCTTTTCCAGGATATTTTATATAATTATATAAAATCTTTCTCTTTGTAGCCTGAGATTATGTTTAACTGTACAGCTGCTTTTACATTTTTGTTGTAGCATGCTAATGTATACCTACAACACCACCTTCCTCTATAAAAAAAAAAAAAAACTTCCTTGTCTTCTCCTGCTTTATTTGTATTGGCTTTTGGGGTCACCTGAATCGAACGAACATGTCTCTCAAAGCTTCCTGTTGACAATGTGTCTCAAGACAGTTTATCTTCGGACAAACCAGCATGTCTAGGTATAATAAATATAATAAAATAAGTTTTATTCCAGTGTGGAGTCAGAAGTCTTGTGCTGTTAGACAGTGAAATCGGCTTTGCTCTTTGTTAACTATTTCTGGGCCTGACTTGCTCGTCCTTATAAAGGAATGATAAACTGACGGATCTAAAAGCAAGAACGGAGCTGGTATCCTACATTAAGCCTCAGGAACAGGGGGCAAAACATGTCATCCAGCTGCTCTTACGGGGAACCTGGCAACCTTTCTGTACTTATAACCTGATCTTCATGAAAAAAATATGGAATTTTAGTTGTATGACCTTAAAAGGAGAGAAATCACAACATTTTCTGATGCATCAGATCTCACGGGATCTTGCTGTTAACAATCCTGCACTTTATTTCCCAGT